AATAATAATATAATTATATTATTATTGATACGGAACCGACTGCAGCCGTGAACGTAATAGACGCAGTAATGTCGGGTTAGAGTGTTTCGCACCGCGGGTAGGCCGGTGCCCCGTCGGAGGTGAGATAAGTGGATAAGGTATATTGTATATAGACCTGTACGTACGAGTGTGTTTTAATGGCAGACGATAAATCATCGGAAAAAGAAAAAAAAAACAACGGTTTCGAGCGTCTGGACGCGTATGCAAACAACAGTACCGTGAACGGTCGAGTTTACGCGCCGAAAGAAAACTTATTGGATCAATAGTTGAGCCGATTGGTAAACGATAAAATAATTGACTGCGGGTGAGTGAAAAAAAAAAAAAATAAATAGTTTTAAACAATTAACAAATTTAATTTGACTTTTACTCGTCAACCGTAAGTATGGTTAATGTCCGCCGTTATCTATACCATCGTACATTCTAGGCCGCCCGTATTCAAAAATCCAGGACGAGAACGATGTATTATTTTGGTTTCTGAGTGATGGAGCGAGGAAAATATTGGTTTTACGATAACTTTTTTTTTTTTTTCTTCTGCGGACAACTTTTCTTTGCTCCGATTTACAATAATCGCATTTTTTTCTGAAAGGTAATCGGACTGGAGAAGTACTTTAAGGAGATCATCTTTAGATTTTCCCAGGAGTTTTCCCTATTATATGACATGTATATTGTCGATAAAGCATTACTATTAACCGAACTCCGCTCAGAATCGTTTTTTCGTTAGCCAAGGGTAATCGTCGCGTATATATATGTATTAAATTCTCCTCTATATCTTATCTTCCCGACTTCCCACCGCCAGCAGTGACTGCACACGTCCCTATTATTATCCTAGAACAGCTTCTTTTTTTTTATATTACAACTTTTATGTTTTTACATTTTGTATTACTCTGAAAACGTGTGTTTTTTTTATTCAGAAAACACTTTTTCGGCTACCGAAAACTCTCTCTAAATGTTTGCACGCCGTGTCTCAAATAATGCAGAATTTCGATACCGCGGTACTTTGTTTGGAATGCGCGCAGCAGTTCACCCTGTTTTTTTTTCCCGGAAACGCTATTTCACGCGGATTTTTCACACGCAAGTACGGAAAAGCCGAGACGGGGGCACGTCCCGCCCGTTCCGACGGACGACGTCGTCCACGAGCAGACAACACCGGTATGTTACGCGTAGACACGGTATATTTACGCGGTTCGTAATTTTTTTTTTTTATTTTTTTTTTTTTTCTGCTTTCTATACTCGTACATAATAATATCGTTTGCGTAGAGTAGTGGTGGTTGTGCGTATTATAACGAAATAATGCCACACCGTACGCCCGTGTACGGGTGTACTAAATAATACCGTACCGACTCCGTACCGCGGGAAACCGGTTCGCGCGTCCGTCGCTGTTGCCCGGTGTGCATTATCGACGAAATTAGTACCGATTAGAATACCCGATTTAATTGACAACAACACGCGCGCGCGCGCGCGCACAACGAGGCGCAAAACCGGTCCCATTTTTATATTAACCGCGCGATTATCGAGGAAGCGGCGCGCATTACAAATACACGCGCACTGTACGAATATACGATACGCCGTAACACGGGTACGCGCGCTTGCCCGTATCGTCATTGTTATAGAACGTTACACGCGTAACCTGTACGTAACCGCGCGCCCTCCCCGCAAAATTTTTTTTTTTTGCTACTGTTCACTCCTCCGTACATCGTCACGACGTTATATTTGTCCGTCTCTCTCGAATTTCCCCCCCCCCCACGCGTTTGAAAAACGCGCGCCGCCCGATCCGATCCGACGCCGCCGCCGTGCGCGAAGCGTTTTCTCAACGAGGTTTTCCGCCTGTAAAGTCCGTCGGACATCCGGTACGGAGTGGGATCTCGCTCGCTGCGCGGCGTCCGCTCGGAAATGTCCCGCGTAACCGTACCAATACCGCGAATAAACGCGAAAGTCCGTTTGCGGACGCGCGTTGAAAAACGAAACTTCGCATAGATTTGGTTCCGGACCGCGGACAACGCTACTCGAGCGAACGGATACTCGGACGCTTGCTGTTGCGGACCCGCGTCGGCCTCTAAATGGTAGGGGGGGGGCCGACGCGACGTTGTCGGCGTTTTCGGTCCGAAAATCGAATTTTGTTTGTCGGTTATATCCTGTGTAAAGAGAGAGAAAAAAAAAAAAAACGTTACATCGCACAAACCGATGTCTTTTGGCGCGGGAAACGCCGGGCGCGTCACATGTGCCTGCGTCGTGTGCCGGGAAACGACGGGTCGGCCGGAAATCACGTCGGTTCAGAAAACGTAACGCATTCGAAGAACTGAACCGTACGGACGATAATATACGATAACGTCGCGCGCGCGTTTTTTTTTTTTATTATTATTTTAATTTATATTTAACACGGCTGTTGATCGATGTGTGCGCCATAATATATCGGTAGTGTCCGGCTATCGCGGCTTATTAATTATTTTAATAATACCGTAATAACGCGGCGCAATCCGAACGGTGAACACGATATTCGCGTATGGATTGTGTACGAGATAAAAAAAAAAAAAAAAAAAGTTTACGTGTGTGTTTTTCTAACGTATAAGATCTACCGCCGATAGAGCCCCGACAGATCTCGTGATCACCGCAATGCGTATGATTATATAATTTTTTTGTTTTTTTTTTTTTTTCGTGCGCCCGCATCGCTGTCGACGTGAAAGTCGGCGAGTATTTACGTGTAATATTATAGGTACCGATAATGTTTGAATAGCCATGATAACGATTATTATACTCGTCGTAAACAAATATTACATTTTCGTCGGTACAACACGATTTTTTTTTTCCACCACAACGATTATTGGATGGTATTATAATTTTTTTTTTTTTTCCGACCGCGGACCGTTTTGAAATAATAACGCGTGTCCGACGATAGGTTTCTCGTTTCGCGTGCACACTCGGTCGATCGTGCAGCGCTGTCCGTTTGCGGACGAGGAAATTTAATTAAAATCATTAGTGACCGCGCGCCCGTAAATGACCGCAATTCATAATACGCGTTATAAGGACCGATTAAATACGACGTCCGGGCCGCGGATACTCGACGTTTATTTCCTTCCTCCTCCTCCTCCTCCTCCTCCCTCCCTCCCTCACTCCCACCCACCCACACGTTATGTACAGGGTGATTCATTGATCACGCGGACCGGCGATGTTCTCGGAGGATTTCGAACGAACTCGAAACTCCCGTTTACATTATATTGCGCTGGCGTACACCGTCAATAGCGGAGACGGTTGAACGTGCGATAATGTAGCGACCGCACGACAACTGGTAGTGTAGTAGGCATGCGACGATTGAAAATTGCTGAATGCGTAAAATAATAATTTCCGTCCGAATGATTTTTTTTTTTTTAACGAACAAAGGTGCCCCTATTATATTTTATAATATAGGAAAACATTTTTCAACCGTTATATACGATAATACAATCGTGTTTTATAATCCAACGCTATCTGAGTACGGAGGTGTTGCTTACCCAACAGTATTCCAGTGGAACCGTTGGTTTTAGTTGATGTTTAATTAGTACCGCGCGTTTCGAAGGCAAAGCAACGCTATTTACCGTTTATGGGTTATAATGCAGTTTAAAACCAGGGCCGGACGAGCAGAGATGGACGGTAACTCAATATCCGTTTTTAGACGCGATTACCCTATCCCATTAATCGCCTCTGGTCTACACTTCAGACTGCTGTAATCCCATAAACGGTGGGCTCAACCTATACACACTCTGTGTTTTACGGAGTATCGGGGGGGGGTGGTGAAAAAAAATTGTAAATGGTGTTAAAACGGAACCTCAACTGTGTTCCATAACGATTGAAAAAAATAGAAACCTGCGAATTCATTTGAAACATCCGCCGAGAAAATCGCCGGCGCGCGATAAATGGATCACTCTGTATTCTAACGTTCACTGGATCGAATCGACTTTTCCTACATCGTACCGTTTATCCGATTAACCGCAGCAACACAAGCAGTCCGATTAATAGACTATTATGTATAGGTATATACGTGTATATGTTATTATTAGCTATATTATTTTTCGTGTGTATAGAATTTTTTAAAGGTATTTGCTATACTATACGCGTAGTAATAATGATAATGTAAAAATTTCTCCGTTCTCGCGGCCGAGCTATTAGCGCGAATTAAAAAAAAAAAAAAATAAACTGACCCGACCGCTTTTCTGCGTGCATAGCGCCGCACGATGTTTGCACAGAACGTAATAATGAATAGCGAAACGTATTAAATTATACATTATGCATATTTAATTTTAATTTTAAACCTACAACATTGTGCGGATTGTGAATTAACGCACTTTAATCGCGGTAAACATCACGCAAAAATCGATAGCGCTCGCGGTATTCATCGCCAGGGTTCGCCGTTGTAGTTCAATCGTGCCAATAATGACCATAATAATATTACGAGCGTTATATGCTAATATGACCGTCGTTGTAGCGATCGCATTTATTTTCTCAGCAGAAGGTGCGAATCGCGTATAATTCGATTATTAGTGTGGTTCTTATTTTTTTTTTCGATTCTAAAGAATACAAAATATATATTGAGCCCTATTTGAGCTCGCTGCGAATATTCTCAAGTCCCCCGGTAACGAGGTAAAGCTTCCCATTTAAAATGCATGTGTTTTTCTTTTCTTTTTCTTTTTCGTTTATTTTGTATTTTATAAAGCAGTCTATGTAAAAACTTTTCTTGCATAGAAACGATCGAGGTACGTTCAGGTACGCTTTAAGTGAGAGAGAGAAACAAAAAAAAAAATTAAAACATGCCGATCGTTCCGTGTCACTTTCCCGTCGATAATGATTAATTTTTTCTTAGTTTCCGAACTGTCGGTGTTTTGTTTTCTTCCGCCTTTCGTCAGGATAAATATCGATCCTACGCATGTACGAGGTTTGTAAATAAAGTAAAGAGACTGATTTTTCAAAATTTTTTTATTAAACTAAAATGACTACTTTACATTGTCTCCTTCAAAGTAGTTGCCCTGAGAATCCACACAGCGCTGGAGTCGATGTTTCCATTGTTTATAGCAGTTCTGGAACTCAGTTACTGGAATAGCTTTCAGTTCATCGGTCACAGATGATTGAATATTTTCTAGTGTCCCAAAATGTCGTCCTTTAAGGTGAATCTTTATTCGTGGAAAGAGAAAAAAGTCACAAGGGCTCAAGTCGGGTGAATAAGGGGGTTGAGGGGCCACAGGAATATTTTTGGTTGCCAAAAACTGGTTGATTGAAATGGCTGTGTGGCGCCAAGGCGCCAAGGAACCATTTTTGCACAAATTTTTCTCATCTCCAAATCATTGGTCAAAATGTGATGAACGGTGGTGTGAGTCAATCCTAACTGTTCTCCGATCATTCTGACGGTCAACCGACGATCGGATCGGACAAGATCTCGAACTCTGATGACGTTTTCATCAGTTTTTGCAGTTGAAGGTCTTCCACTGCGAGGTTCATCTTCAATCGCCTCTCTGCCTTCAGAAAATGCCTTAAACCACCTAAAAACCTGAGCCCTTGAAAGTACACTTTCTCCATATACTTGTTGGAGCTTTTGAAAAGTTTCTGTCGCACTGTGTCCAAGTTTGAAACAAAATCGGATAGCACACCGTTGCTCAAAATTGTTGTCGCTCATTTTCAGAACGTAGTAAATAAAATCGGTTTACGAAAATAATTGTCACAGACCAACACGCGACACTACGGAGTTTAAATTCGTACTGAAGGTACATTAAATGTTTATCTACAAACCTTTTCAAACGGAAAGTCATTGGTGTTATCATATAAAAAGCTACGATATCAGTCTCATTACTTTATTTACAGACCTCGTAGACCGTATAAGTACTGTTCGAAGAGCGCAATGCCTAAAAAACGTTAACCGCGAATGGCGAATTCGCCGAAACGTTTACTGGTTGTCGGTTTATGTTTGTTTTAATTTTTTTCTCGTCTACAGCGTACAATGTTAATCGATCGTTAGCGAATCGCAGCTTTCGGAGCCGACGTAAACCGCGGATAATACACCGGCCGGCGGGTCGTAATCGCGCAACGTATTTCGCCGATCACGCGCACTCACGCGTTCGTCAGTACTCGCACGGTTTTCGAAACTGCGCGAAACCGGAGAAAACTCGGGAAACCGGCTCCGGCGGCCTTAATAAGGAGCGTTCGGTTTCGTATCGGGCCCGGCGGCCTCCTCCTCCTCCTCCTCCTCCTCCTCCTCCGCCATCCCCTCTCGCCGTTCTCGACTCCCCCGCCCCCCCCCGTGTCGGTGAGGTCCGCGCAAGCCCCCGTCCGTATATATACGTACATGGCATAGGCGACCGCACGTGTATTCGCCGCGGATGTCGAACGACGGTCTCGGCGACCGCTGCCGCGCGGCAGCGTTCACGTCTCTCCGGAGTCCCGAAAACGGCGGTCGCGCATGAATAAAACCGCCGCGAACCGCCGTAAACGCTCGCCGGAGTTTCCGTTCCCGCGGCGCGCGCGTCATAAAATTATTATACAAATAAATGAGCGGGACAACGCCGGACACTGCGTCGTTGTTACGCTGTTGCCGAGCGATCGGCGCGGCCCGATCGTTTAATTCCCGTTCCCTTTGTCATTGCCGGGGCCGCGTGTCGTTAGGTACGCGCCCGCCCGGCGGCCGCCGCGCGCTCGCGAAACCCGCGTCCCCGGACTCTTGCGGTACTGACACGCGAACGACAGCCGAACCGCCGCCGAGCCGCTGTCGTCCTCGGCCCGCGGTCTTTCCNTACGAGGTGTGGCTATTAAATAACGAGACTGGTTACGAAAAAGTGTTTTATTATAAAAGTTATTCTACATTCAAATGCTCCCCTTCAATATACTCCCCTCCCCTCGCCACACACCGTTTCATTCGTTTCTTCCATTGCTCGAGGCAGTGCTGGAAGTCTGTTTTCGTAAGACCATTCAGGAGTTCCGCCGGTTTTCGTTTCACCTCTTCCGTCGACTCAAACCGGATTCCTTTTAAGGCAGACTTTATCTTCGGAAACAAGTAAAAGTCGCAGGGTGCCAAGTCGGGTGAGTAAGACGCGTGTTCGAGTACTGGAGTGCCTTAAGCGGCCAAATAACGCTCCACGCCTTATCCTGGTGCAAGATCCACGACTTGTTTTTCCACAATATCGACCGTTTCTTACGAACTCATTCGCGCAATGTTGCCAAAACTGTCATGTTATGTCATAACTGTCAATAGTAATGTTGGTTCACAGTTTGACCCCGTGGAACCCATTCAGTCGTCGCGATGCCGTTGATATCGAAGAAAACGGTTTTGAATTTGGATTACGACTGAATTGGATTCCGGTGCACTCCCGACTTTCAGAAAATAATTTATGCCACTCAAAAACACGCGCCCGAGATGGGAAATCCTCACTATAGGCCACTTTTAACAACTTATAGCACTCAGTTGGAGTTTTTTTTTAGTTTGACGAGAAAATTTTACGTTTATCCGTTGCTCATGTTTTTCGACACACACGGTTTTCGGCACGAGACAAAAACACGTTCGTTCCAAACCACTATTGCACAAACACTATCATAGTGACGAAAACTCGTTTCGGTACGCGCATAGATAAGATATCTAGATACCCAACGCATTACTCGTTATTTTCACCACCCATCTAGGGCGCCCTCTAGGCGAGCAGTCTCGTTGTTTAATAGCCACACCTCGTATATATATATATATACAATGTAATTTAAACGCGAGTGTACATCGGGCAATGGGAACACGATATTACACGTATTGTCATCGTCGTCGTCGTCGTTGTTATTATTGTTATTGTTGTACGCGCGTACGAGTCGATCATGTCATTTGGCATTTTCCCCGTCCGCGCGCGCGACCACGGCCGGGCGTCTCCTCGCGCGTCGCCCCACATCGCCGCCGTATCGCCCCGCCGCGCGCTTTTTAACGCGTAATTCCGCATCCTACATTGACAACGACAACGATAATAACGATAACGATAATAATAAATAGCTGTCGTCGCGCAATCGCTTTCCTGGTCGCGCGTTTTTTATGTATTTTTTTTTTTTTTAATATTATATACGGGTATACGAGTACGGCCGCCGAACGCGCGTGCACGCGTTAGCGAGTACGGGTATACGAGTTACGGTGTTGCGTCCGATATAACTCTATTTATTTTCATTAACGTTATCTTCTTTTACGACTTCACACCTGCGTAAGGTCGCGCGACGCTACACGGTTTCGTTGTAGTCATCGATCAATATTCCCGTCCGTTTCCCGCCCCCCCCCCCGTCCTCCGCTACTCGTTACCTTGTACGGATTAATTCCATTTAAGACCGAAAAAAAAAAAAAAAAGGAAAAAAAACTCTACACGATTTTTAATTGCCTATACCTGCCTATCGCGTAGTCGTCCCAACGTGTCTAGCGACGACGGTGGATGATTTCGAATCGTACATACGCGAGGCGTGTTCGAATAAATTTCATTGGTACGGTATCACGATAAAAATGATACGTGTTATATTTATATAGGTACCGGTGACAACACAGAATATAAGGTATAGAGCCGGTGGCGTGAATCGGTATTATATAAGTGTAGTCAGCGGAATCGTTCTCGATTTATGGCGATGCGGCGAAACATTTCGTTTGCCGGCCCGGTCCGAACAATCGCGACCGTTTTCGTGAATCCCCCGGCCCAACAGACAATCGATTCCCGGCCGGTGCAATCGCTTTTCTTTTACACACATCAGCAATTAGTATTCAACTATCCGAACAGTGAGTATACTGTTAATCGGTTATTAATTACTACGCGTAATACGAGTAATGTGTGTGCATAGCGGTAGACACAGAGTGGTCACACTTGATCTGATTTTACGCAGTTTGGTTCGACGTACGTACTCGTCTGCGCGTGTCACACACTCACACATTACAACGGTAAATATATCGGTTATCGGGTTGAGGGGGTGGGGGGGGGGTTATCGGTAACAAAGGCGGTTACGAAGGATTTCGGGGAAAAATTCCTACCAGCATATATATTATCACGTATATAAGTATCATAGTATCATAGTAGGCGTGCCGGGATATCACTGATCATCTATACAGGTACCTATAATGTTTCACGTGCGTAGAGCAGGGCGATCGAGTCTCGACAATACACTCTTTATCTCGGAACGTATAAACTTTTATCGGCATTTTTTATTCTGAAAGTTTAAAAAAACAAACTCTAGCTCTAAAATACTGTAATTTTTGTTATTTTTAAACAAGAAACACGGTCGATTTTAAAATAGCAACGTAAATTTCTATAATATATAGCTATATTAAAAATATCGTTTACACACCGCGGTGATTCGTTCGCACTTGTTCGCAAAGGTGAGAACCGTTTTCGGAAACCCGACCCGATCGCTTATCGACATACTATGTTAGCATAGTGCTCACGAAATAAAATACCGCCCGACGTGGTTCTGCATAACGAATCGGCGTTTATTTTCGATTGATTTTCTCCGTTCGCTTCGTCTAGAGCCAAAAGCCCCAGACAAAGCATTCATAACAGTTAAATATAGCGTAGTATTTAGCATTAAAATATTACAAATATATTATACACATAGAAGATACAGACTAGTATAATTAATATTATAGTCTCATTTATCTTTATCGTTTTCCAACAGATGCCGTTATCTACCTTATTGGTCGATGTCGAACGACAGTTGGTCAAAAAAATGCGGTAACCGCGGTCGATCCTCAATAGGGCGTATAATATTGCGCAATCGGTACGCAATTACACCGGTGTAATATTGTAATATTATTATCTTTGCGATCGATTTTTTTATACGATATTATTATGTACTGCACACGCGTAACGACCGTTCATGTAAACACTGACGTTAACGCGATAGTACGGAACGATAACGATTTCGAACGGAGTTTTACAATGTGTTCACATAGAATATTACCAACCAACGATTATAATGGTGAAATAGAATAACGGTAAAATCGGCGTAAAAATTGTCACGGTTTTTTTTTAGTTTCCGAGTGGAGGGAAGAAGCTTATAGTTTTATAACTGTTTTATCCGTGGACAACTTTTCTACAGAAGATGCAGACGATTAATCATCTTTTGAAAGAAAATTTTGTTGGGGTGGTACTTTAGGGAGTTCATTTTTCGATTTTCTCATCAAATTTGAAAAACTGAAAAAAAAAGCGGGAAAATGTACAAAAGATAATAAAATATTACGATTTTTTTTCCCTGTGCACATTTTTTTTATCAGAAATTTTACTATCGTGGTACTTAAGAAAAAGTAATTTTTCGATTTTCCCAAGAGTTTTCCCCGCAAATGTGAAAAAACGGGATAAAACACGGGAAAACCGGGAAAAACGTAGGAAAACTAAGAAAATCGGTACAACATTAAACAAATATCATTAAAGAAAATAAATAAAGGCTATTTAATTGTTTTACTAAAAAATGACTTATATATTGTTCGCAAAGCATCACTGTCAACTGAACTCCGATCAGAATCGTTTTTTCGTAAGCAATAGTGTATTTTTGCTGACAATTATATATAACAGTGGCTGCATCCGTCCCAATTATCCTAGGACGTCTTTTTTCTTTTTTATTATCGACGATTTCGATAGAATACGAAGATTTGCAGAGAATCGACATTTTTGCAGTAGATAAACA